TCATACTCTTGCAAGAATACATCCTATACCCCTCCAAATTGCCACCACTTCCTTGCACATAAAGATGCGCTCATCTGTCCACATCATGCATGGTTCAGCCCTGAATCATGTGTGGGTTAAAGCAAAGAAAAGCAGCCCATGGGCAAATCTTTCTCGAGGTTTTGCAATGTCTGGTGGAGGAATTGTGAGCACAGATGCTCCTGAGATAGCTCCAAAAGAAAAAGTCACAACAATTCAAGTCAGGGGAACTTCCATTGGCACTTAGCCCTTGCACTGATTTTTTCAATATCTAAAACTTGGCGCAGAGCCGATTTTGACCCGATTTTGGAAGGATTTCTCACCCAACCATTACCACATGTGAATGAATGACATATCATTGCAAAGAGGAGAGACATGGCTCTATGGTACATTAAATGAAATTGATGTAGTCATCACTAGTTTTGTGATTTTACGAGATAACTACTTGTTGCGTTTTTTTGATACGCCCTGTACAGGGAATACCTTCTTTCCCGTTCAATATGATTGAAGCTGGACAATGACAAAGAACTCTACGTTCGATTGGCGTAAAATCAAGGATAGATATATTGAAGTTGAAGATTACAAGATGCAGAATGGTCAAAACTCACCGATCATTTTTGAAAAAGATGACATAATCATAGTCATGAAATCAAAAACATAAAATTATTATGAAATAATGTTATTACAAAATTAGCTTAAGAATATTGTGAATTATCATTTGATAAGCTATCCCAAGCCTATCGTATAAAGCTCCTTTGATAAACCTACTGTCCTCTGCCTTTGAAGTGAATGCCCTTAATCAAGCCAGAGTAATAGTATATAGCATTAATGCAGTTTGTAATAGGACATTGCAATTAGGCTATGTACTGTTTTATCTATAATTAAATGAAATATTTGATTGAAGTTGAAGTCCTTAATATTCCATGAAGAACACTACTCCTGTCAAGAAGCTGTAGACGTTAAGTAAATGAGCCAATACTAAAATGATATATTGTTTTCTACAAAGAGAGTCTTAAGAGTGATGAGAATAGTAAACTTATTACCTTGAACCAATAATCTTATGCAAACAAATCAAAAAAATACTAATCGGTTGAAGGTACGAAGTGCACATATTGTCAGTTCCCTCATTTGTGCCTAGCTAGCTTCAGTTAAAGGTACAGTGTCCATCATAAGACAATAATTTGATTAAATCTCTATCCAGCACTTAATTAGACAATTATGTCTAATTTGTAGAAATAATCTTGATTTACGTCACTGAAAATTCAGTCAACGTGGTCATATTTGAAATCTATATGAGCCAGGCCACAGGAAAAGGGGTCTTACCACAGATTTTTAAAATATTCTGATTTTTTGTTTATCTTAAAAAGCACAAAGAAACCTTTCAAATGAGCCATGGCTTATGTCCTAACAATTTTTCCTTGCATATATAGACCAAAAAGTCGGATTTAAATTTTGCACATTTTTCTCTTAATCGTGGGCACATTTTGGGCTCTGTAGCACAATTTTAATTTTTGTGATAAGACCGGTTTTCCTATGGCCAGGCTCATATGTTAAAGTACATCTAGAAATATGGTTTCGAAAATTGTTTCTCAACTTTGAAAGTTTAATTTTTTGAAAATGTGACTTCTAGTTCTGAGAGATTCACCAGAGACCCCATGTTATAAAATCACAAAAATATATTTTATTGTATTGGACAAATAATATTTTCTTTTACTGGACATATTTTAACTTGCCTAAACTGTTACATATATAAGGGTGATACTGTGATACGAAATTGAATCACTAAAACTGATGAATATTTAAGTTAAAGGGAACCTTCTACTTTACCCGCCATGCTATCTGACCGGAATGAGTCAAGCAAAACAAGGAATTAACAATAAAAGCGCCTTTTATTATAAAAAATGGGTAGGTGTAGTTTTATTTTGTCAGACCGATTTGAATACTCCTCATCCGCGACTAGGCCAGTAGATTTAATTAGAGTTCTGAATGCAATTACAATGTTGTTAATAACACTTGTCGAATCATTGCTGCAGTTATGACACGGATCCGGATTTGGAACCGTCAGTGTGTAACTACCTTAATTATGATATACACGTAAGATACATGCAATGAAAAACTGCTCCTTGAATCGTTATCTTTATTAGTATAGTATTGCAAGTTATTTTATCTAAGACATTATTCCGGAAACTTTTAGACATATCATTAAACAGATGTTATTGATATCTCCTTCAAAGTGTTCCAACAAGACTGACTTTCCTTGTTAACTACAGCGTGTGTGACAGAATGTATACCTTTCCCCTACAGTCTATCTTTACATATCGTGATTTCTTGACAAATGAATGGCATCAACGCAAACAGATTTATAGACAGTTGATAGTTGGCAAATGTCGCTGATAAGACGATGCCAACAATAGTACGGTAGACTGTGATTGATGGTCAATCTATAGATCTTACACTCTGGGCTACAGATGAAACGATTGATGACAAGATTCCGAATCGATAACTCATTTTCAAGCAAAGGTCAGCCTTCTTGTTCAATGTTCATTGAAAAAGTAATGAAATCAGCCGTTGGGAACTGGGGTAGGATTAGTCCCATGGAATCGATTCCGAATTGTCACGCGGTACTAACTCACCGGGGCGTATCGAAACCAAAACGCCCCGCAAAACCGTTAATTTGAATTTCAAACCTACCCTTTCTTTGGAAAATCAATGATTGTGAGTCTCATAGTACACCATTTTTCTTCAAATTTGTTCCATTAAAACCTTCACAGAAATACCTTTCAGTCGAGACATTGCTTTTGTGTACAGAGTCACTCGTTTTAGAGGCGTTTTGGTCCCCAGATGTGAGAAGATGCAAATCTTCAGAGATTTCAACCAAAAGCCTCGATATATCACCAGTTCTTTTATTGTTCTCCCCTATATTTTGCACACGGACTCCCAGTACAACCCTCCATCTCTGCATCAACATATTTAATTACATTAGACGCACAAATTTCCAAAAGTCCTACGCATCTGTTCGAAATTGATCAAAACGCCCCGTTCTCTTCCAAAACGAAAATATTGACGAATGTTGTGTCCATTTCAACATCAATATAACAAACAAAACACCACTTTTACGTGTAAGTTATATACTCTTTATTTCAAATAAATACTTGGGTTTACATGGAGCTCAGCGACATGTTTTTCCGGAGTAAGTCCCTCCTTTTTTGCATTGGACCTCGTCTGGCCCTAGATCCACGTACGGCATTTCAGAATCGGAGAGTAGATAACTGGGCCAGACGAGTTTGGTTACTGGGGACCAAAATGCCGCTAAAACGAGGGACTTTGTAAACAAAGGCAATGTCTCGACTGAAAGGTATTTCTGTGAAGGTTTTAATGAAACAAGTTTGAAGAAAAACGGTGTTGTGTGAGACTCACAATCATCGATTTTCCAAATACAGGGTAGATTTGAAATTCTAATTAACGGTTTTGCGGGGCGTTTTGGTTTCGATACGCCCCGGAGAGTTAGGACCGCGTGATTGTGTGTCTTTAGATTTTCTTTATTAATAAGTTATTCACTTTCAAAATCAGAACTGTGCCAGTTTTGCACGGCTGAACAAAAAATTTTGCACCATGGTATTCTTAAAGTGGTTCTCATCGAAAATACCTTTTTGGAATTTTCCTAATAATGCTAGCCTATAATGCCACTGGCGCTAGGTAGCAGTTCTATACTTGTATATTCCTAATAAATTAATGAAACAAAATAACATCGAAAATTCCCTTTGTCGCAAAACTGGATATAGATAGTAAATAATCGAAATAGAATTAAAATACAAAGATCCATACTCCTTGGTCACCAATTAAAGATTTTAACAGAATACTATTTCTGTGGGAATAGTTGTCCAACATGTCTGACATTCCCCTCCTCAAGATTGAAGATTCGTATAATGAAGGTGGACATTTTAAAGTGACAACAAGAATAGATCGGAGTGTGCCTGTGACAGAAAAGATATTAGAACATGTACAACAGAAGCTATCGATAACATCGATGCAGACATGTCCACATTTATTACAATTGAAAAAGGGATATCTATATTTTTAAAACTTTTTGCCGGATAACAATATACTACATAATATATTCCTGTCAAAGCATCATCATCGTAAAGTCAAAACTTTATTGGATGTTTTTAACAATAAGCACCTTTCAACAACACCTGAATTCACATTTGTTTGGGCTAGCTGCCGTAGTCAGCTATTGGCGGTTGTTAGTCCTATCGGCAAATGTATTGTTAAATAACATTATGTAATTTATAATAGAATTACGTCATCATATTATATAGCCAACAACGAACCAACTTAGTTCTGTTACTCTTATTTTTGCCTCTCAAAGAGCGCAAGTACCCAGAACACTACAGCTTCATAAAATCAACTTCACACCGGAATAGCCTGACGAGGGTTAAAGTCAGATACCGTTGTCACAAATGGCGGACACAACCGTCGCCTTAATTCTATAATCACTTGGTCCTCATTTCATGGGATTTTATCGTCGCTAATGCTGTGCATGTATTAAGCTCTTGTGATGATGTATTAAATGAAATCCCAATTTCAAATTGGGTCGTGAATAGCCACAATATAGCGTCTTCGATATCATCAATGACAACGGAATCTGAATCATGGGTTAAATTAAAGACTTTATTTCGATGGTAGAACATAATTAACTGTACAAAGACACTTTGATTGTTTGTTGTTCCAAAGGAATTTAGTCTAGGTGTTTCATAAAACATACAGCTCATGAAAATCTAATTGAAGCGACAGTTATGTTCGCCATTTGTGAAAACGGTATCTGACTTTACCGTTGTCAGGCTATTCCGGTGTGAACTTGTAACGCTCTCATGATACATCTCTGTATTCCTGCGCCATTAATGTAATTTGTAATGCATTTAATTACTATACTTTATTGTATCAATATAATACACTAAAGTAGTTCATTATTGTATTTTCAGCATGAGAGTATTCGATATGCTTTTCTCGGCGGTTTCAACAGGCAATTGATTCGGAGTACAGGTAGCATAGCAGTGTACGCTATACGTGCATCGGGTAGCTTTAGCATCAGTCATGGGGACGCTAGGTATAGATTTCGCCCAGGTACAAGAATGGTTGGATAAAAATACAGAGTGTATGCAGGAGTACTTTGTGAAAAAAGCTGATATCTTACTCATCAACAAGTGGTTGATATCACATGGGTTTCATACTCTACAGGAGTATGTTTCAGGCAAAAGGGGTTCTATGTCCAGAGACAGCGGAAGTCCTGCCTCACCAACAGTCACAGACAATGGTTTCTTCTCTGACAAGGATATTTCCCATAGGAGGAGCAACTCAAAGAAACATTTGAGACATGATTACGCCAGATCCAAAACACGAAATACATTTAGAACCTTTGATCCAACCACAACGTCCACCAGTGTGGAGTCTACAATAGAAAAACGGAGGAGTAGTTTAAAGGGGATGAGACAGTTCCTCTCACTGCCGCCAACTTCAGTGAACATGCTTAGCATGCTTATTTCATCTAAGATACGTTTACCAAGATATGCTAGCAAGGATGAGGAGTTCAAAAGAGAACTTCGTGGGTTCAATGAAAAGGAATTCTTTTTAGAAATAGTAAAAGAAATCTCCCATGAACTAGATCTAAGAAATCTCAGTGGAAAGATTGTTAACAATATTCAGATCCTATTAGATGCTCAGGGGAGCTCTTTATTTCTGGTGGAAAAGAAGCAAGGAAAGAGCGAACTTGTATCAAAGGTGTTTGATATGTGTGCAGGTACGAGTACCCTGCCAAGTAACTATGGAGACAATGTTGTGAAAGTTCCATGGGGCCAAGGGATTATTGGATATGTTGCAGAGACAGGTCTGACAGTGAATATCGACAGAGCGAGTCAGGTAAGTGTCAGATTGAAAACTTAATATTATATCTAAGACGAAGAAAAGATTCATCTAATTAGGTTAATTCTATTATCTTTGTCGTGAAAGGGGAAGACTTCAAACCACTCTCTCGTCTCCTTTTGTTTATAAAATGAGATACTGTTCCTGACATGGCACAATGAAGCACAATGGAATAATAGGTTGTCGTTGGAATAATTTCATTGTGCCATGTCAGGAACAGTATCTCATTTTATAAACAAAAGGAGACGAGAGAGTGGTCTGAAGTCCTCCACTTTCACGCCAAAGATAGAAGAATTAACCTCATTAGATGATTGTTGGGATGAACGATACATAAGAGAAGTCTGAAATCTTCGAGATTTCTGAGTGGATCTTATCTCATACATGACTTGCGTTATTTTCCACAATGCCGTCTGTAAATTGTCTTATGCCCAGTTTTACAGGTTACTTACTGCCTTATTCTTACACAACGAATGTGTAAGATCTTCCCGGATTGTAACTTTCAATTTGAACGAAGATTGAATATTCAAACAACACTTCCATAAATGTTTTCAGTTTTGTGTTCTTCTGGTATCGGGTCAAGAATATGGGGTAAACGAAAGGGTATGAGTACCATTGATATTTCTTAAAATGATCGCCGATTTTTGTAATGTTTGAGAGGGAAAGACGTGGTCAATGTCAACCTTGATTTTCAGTTCTAAATGTGCTATTACTGATCTGATTACATCTAATCGTATTATGCACACTGCCAATACAAAACATATTACGTCTAGAGCGATAAAATTACAATTCTAGAATCCTTAGAAGGGGGCATGATAACTTTTTAAACGACTTTTGCACGTCAAAAAGCGTTAAGGCAGCAAGTACTTAATCTGTCAGTCCTAACATGCTACTAAGTGTCTGGTTAACAGGACATCTTAGGAGAAATGAACGACTAGTTAGACTCTTGTTAGACTCCGTCCGTCTGTCTGACATGGCGCCTCATTTCAAAATGGCGGGTTTCACCACGTGAGCCGAGTACCCACGGTTCTTTTTTCAGTCTAGAAAATACATGTCAAGATGAAAGAAAACTCCTTACTACCTAAACGGGAAACATCTGCATACTTTTCGAAACCTTTTCCATTCTTCATAGAACCCTTTTTAATGCTGCTTTAATTTGAAGTCCAATGTGACCAACTCATGCTTGATGAAACAAAATACTTGCAATAAGTAAAACATTAGAATGATTTGTTGTTTGTATTCCCAATATATTGTATTTGAAAAAACAAACACAAGGTTTGACAGGTGCAAATTACCGGTATTGTTATTTGTTATTTATTGATTGTGATTGGGAAACCCATTTCCCAAACGTGTAACTCGAATTAAATAACATTATTGGTAATAACATTGGTTTTACCGCCCAGAAGAATCAATTTAGCATTTTGCTGGAAAAGTATAATTCTATTGCTGGTAAATCTCTCACAGTATGTTGACTCTTTTGAGCTACGTAAAAACATGTCTGCCAAGTACCTAGCTGTATTTACAATAATGTATTTGTATGCGAGTCTGTCCCTCTGGGTATCTGGACGAGGCAGGCAGCTGGTCATGCATCTACAGACCTAAATCACATCATTAATTTTTGCTGAAAAAGGATCGCTGTTAATAATGCTGACGGTGCATTTGCATTGTAAAGGTTGTATAAAGGAAAGCTGATTAAAGGGGCAACAAGGCCTGTAGAGAGAAAATTCGAATTTTTTTACTTTTTCTGAGCTATCAGGGCAACATTTGGCTAAACATCTTCTTTGACATAGCTTTTTTCTTAAAATGTATGTACAAACTATCAATTTCAGCATTAAGAAGTGTAAATCCAGTTCAAAGCTTCTAGAGAGGGAGTCCCACTTAGTAGATTTTTAAGATTCACCATGTTTCAAGAGGAATTTCAGCTGAAATAATGTTCACCCAAGGGGATTCTTTGATAATAATAAAATATATATGTTAGTCTTGAAGAAATAACCGAACTGAAATATATTTTGACACTGGTCCATGATTGTTGAAAGGCCCCTCTGCACTCATTGTTGCACCTTTAAAGGTAGTCACTAGACACGATCTTTGGAGGATAGTGTTGGAGAAAATTGAATAAGCACTGTAGCATCACAAGAATTAAAGATGTTATGTGGCAGTAATCACAGAAAGGAAAAGAAGATTTTAAGAACCCAAACTACTATGTCTAGATTAAGATATTGTCTTTTAAAATTTTTTAACCAGCTTTGCTCTATACAATAGATTAGATCACTTATTGTTGTAAATGGGTTTTTTCAGTTAATAACGAAATATTTATGACGTACTACAGTGACGACCGAAATGAATTTTTTCCGATTCAATTTCAATGCCATCAATCAATCTATTGATTTGGTTGGTCGAGTGCATACGATCGCTTGATTGTGTCTGCTTATATGTACACTGTAAGTGTCTGTAAACGTTTACAGTTATCAGGGTTAACACTTCCTTGTTTCGTTTTTCACGGGTGTTAAAACACGATTCGAACATGGCTGTATTCACGCCTTCTATAAACTGTAAACAAAGTCAATGCTTCAGCTGCACCCTTGGTATACGCAGCTAACGAAAATTGACCGGTACGGGTCAAAAGCTGGACCGGTACGGGTTAACGGTTTTATTTGAATTTAAAATAGCCATAACTTGCTCAATATTGACTTCCTCGTGTCTAATTTGAAATATATGATGCCTCCCGATGCTTTTAAGTACCCCAATTTTTTACAGATTTTTAAACGGACCAAAACTCTCTAAATGCGCATTTATGCTCTTTTCTCTGGAGAACGACTGTCTCATTTTCACGATAACTTTTATTTAGTACTTCGAACATATAAGATCTATTTTTCCCCATCAAGGTATGATGTAAATGACATGCTTTTTACATCTTGTGAGTTTCAATGACGCGCGTTTGATTTTATAAAAAATGCCAAACTTTGTGACAAAGAATTTCATCAGCTATTGCCCCGAACCGGTCCGTCTTCTCGTTGCAGGCAGATTGCCCCGAACCGGTCCGTCTTCTCGCTGCAAGCAGGATGAAATTCTTTTCATCGACCCTATTTTCTATCTATATCGATGATTTAAGTGAAAGTATTAACAACCTAAAATGTGGTGTACACATGGGTAATGAAGGCATGTTAAGCTTGTTAATGTATGCAGACGATGTTGTTTTGATATCGAGTACACTGGTGATCCACTCGATTACGCTGGTTACCAAAACGAACCGTTTTGGTAACAAAATGTCGGAACGTCGAAGGCACGATTTTTCTTTTTTCTTTATTTCACGCGTTGTAGGCAGAATCCCCACGACGTTTTTTCTCACAACGTGCATCAGTATCATATGTTTTAGAAAATGTACATGTTTGCGAAAAAATAGCTCAGAGGACAACAGAATCGTCGATTTACTTCCTCACTTAAGTTACATAAACGGTTTTTCGAAAAACAGTTAAGATCTGCACTTTTAACCCAAACCGTTTATGTAACTTAAGTGAGGAAGTAAATCGACGATTCTTTTGTCTACTGAACTATTTGTTCGCAAATATGTACACTTTCTTAAACATATGATACTGATACACGTTTGTGTTAAAAAATGTCGTGGGAATTCTGCCTACAAGTGTAAAATAAGGAAACGAGAAAAATCGTACCTTCCGGATGTTCCGACATTTTGTTACCAAAACGGTTCGTTTTGGTAACCAGCGTAATCGAGTGGATCACCAGTGGAGTAGTAAAGATGGTTTGCAAAAACAGATAGATACATTATATCGTTGGTCAAATACTTGGAAGTTGAAAATTAATACTGATAAAACCAAGGTGATGGTGGTATCAAAGAAGAAATATGAAAACTTTGAAAGTTTAGAGTTCAAATATGGTAAATCTTCACTTGATGTAACAGATAAGTATCACTATCTTGGTATAGATATTACATATAACTTAGATTTTTCCTTAACTGCTGAAAAAGTAAGTTATTCTGGAAGTAAAGCGCTTGGAGCTATGAGGTCAAAGTACCTACAATTGAAAGGTTTACACTTTGATATTTACACAAAATTATATCACAGCACAGTCGCATCGGTAATGGATTATGCATCTGGAATCTGGGGTCTGCATAGAAAAACTCATAGTTTTACCAATAAAATACAATTTAATGCCATAAGGACCTTCTTGGGTGTCAGTAAAAAATGCCCTATCAGCTTTTTAGAAGGCGAGTGTGGATGGACCCCAAATTATATAAGACATTATATAGAAGGTATTCGATTATTGTATAGATTAGTTGTTAATTGTGAAGAGGCCAATATGGCAAAGAAAGCATTTAGATGGGATTTAAGCTTAGCCAAATTGAAATGTGATTTTACCTGGAACGAAGAAATCCAGAGCATATGTAAAAGTGTTGACATGCTGAATATGTATGATGATATGAAAAAATGTAAAGATTTTAAAAAATTTGTGAATCAAATGAAAGGAAAATTAATGAAATTACATGAAACTCAATGGTTGGAGACAATTAGGGAAAAAAGAAAATTGACTTTTTATAAGAGCTTTAAATTATCTTTTCAAAGGTCTGAATATTTATTTTGTAATTTTTTGAGTAGAAAACAAAGATCTGTTTTAGCTAAATTTCGATCTGGCACTTTACCTTTAGAGATTGAAACGGGTAGGTGGCAGAATATACCAAGTCAAGAGAGATATTGTAGGCAATGTAAGAATGAAATAGGTGATGAGTTTCATTTTTTATTCAAGTGTAAAGTTAATCATAAATTAAGAGAGGAAATGTTTTGTAAAGTAAAAGGTATAGATGATCTATTTGAGTCTTGTGATAATGAAAAGAAAACAATGTACTTATTGAATTCTAAATCACTCTGTAAATATGTTTCAAATTTTTTGCTTTTGTCTTTGGAGGCTAAAGATAGATTAAAGTAAGTGTTAATTCTGACTTATCTGCTTATAATATGATTGTAATTGTGTCTCATAAGCCTTTG